CTGACTTTTCAAGTGGAAATGCCACTTCAGCACCCACCGTCCCTGAAATCAATGCTCTTAAGGTAGCACTTTCTTGAGCTTGTGGGTGTCTGCCCCCTTCTCATAACCTAATTTATCCCCTATTTTAATGACTTAGGAACAATCTGCGTCCTTTTTCTTAATAGGTGTTTTAATTTTTGTTTTCATGGCTACGTAACCCACCGAGTATTGTCTAGGTGATCCATCACAAACTAAGGCAAACAGATCTGACCATCTTCAAATCCACTGCTTGTATTCTCAAGACGCTGAAGTGGTCTGAGTCCTAGTTGGCATGCCAGGTTGCTAATCAGTATTGACATTGTTCCAAAACGGCTTGTAGGTGTAATTCAGAGACTGTCCTTTGCAAAGGAAATGACCAGCATTTCAACAGTATGTCTTCCTGGAAGGACAGACTCTGCTATATCTTCTTTGTCTGCATCAAAAGATTCCAAAGGAATGTGGACACATTTCATACCCCACTTGTAGAGCAAAGCTTCAAGTGACCAGTCAGCACTGAAAAAAAATAAATCATTTTTAAAAATCATGATTTTCCTGTTTTGCTTCAGATATATTTTCATTTTATCCTTAAACTAGGTATTAAATTAGTGAGGCTTAAGTTAATTTTTAATATGATTGAGAGAATTAGGCTTACTTTCTTATCTGGTAAGTAGACCACAGTTGAACCTTGGGGTTCTTCTGCATCAAAAAGTATACTGTAGTTAAAATGTCTTCAAAGTCTGAGAAGAAAGGACTTGTTAATAGACATACTTAACATTTGCACATCTGGCCGAATTTATTCAAGAGGAAAAAAGGTTTACCTTCTGGTTCAAAGAACACATCAGATGCAAGGATGATGTCTTGTGGTGGAAGAGCCAGAAGGTCCTGAGATACGTGACCCCATGTTAGTCCCACAACATGCACCTTTGGCAGATTATTCATCTGGCAGCTTTGCCAACAGATTTCTAGACTGTGAGGCAGCTCTGAACTGTCCGACAGTATCACCTCGGCACCACATTTTGCAGCTATAATTCCTGGTAGGCTTGTTCCAGCTCCAATCTAATACAAGTTCGAAAGATGACATTTCAAACTGGGAGACCGAGAATTTGGGATCTCAGTTTACCATTTCATCCCTCTAAGTACAGGCTTAGTGTGTTTTTGAACTTGTCTATAAAACAAAACCATGAAGCTTGGGCTTTGAATTTATGACGAGTTCCTCGTGGTTCCCCTTAATTGGGTCAAAGGGCAGTTATATTATACAGGGCCCTGTGTTCTACAACTGAATGCTTCCAAATTCTATCTCAGTTCGTCTGAGGAAGTCTGGGGACGCTTACTCTGCCATTTTCAGTTCTCTTATGGTCTGTAAAGGAGCTCCTAATTAAAGGACACCATGTCCCTGGAAGCTCAACGGGTGACATGTGTGCACAGCCAGTTACTACCGATTTTAATTGCTTTTATTTGGATAAAGACAGGTCTACGACATGGTTTTCTACTAAAGAGGACTTTCCACTGGGGTCTTGAAAGTGACAAGGCACTAAGGAACACCAAAGAATGCTTTTAACATACTGCAACACAAAAGCCTACACTTTTTCCAGTACTAGGATTGGCATAGAGATTCTCAATCTTTTCTGAATGCCTAGCAAGTGCCACTATTTGGGGCCGGAAGTATGCCAAATGCCTTCCCTGCCCTTCATTTCATTTACAGGTTTTTCAAGAGTTAGATGTTCTTAAGCTTCTGATTTATCTTTAGCCTTCGGGTTTAAGCACATTACCATCTCTGCAAACTTGACAAGTTTCTCCAAGCCTTAAGCAGTCTCAAGTCAGGTAGAATGAGAAAGCCTGGGGTACATTTTTAAATATCAAGGTTTCAGAAAATGGAAAGGGCTGTTTTGTGAGAAAGATTACAAGTGTTCAGCCCAAATGACCCTGTTGGGACACCCTAGAAAGATGGTTGTAACGACTGCTTCCATGTCAAGATTCCATAACTAAAACTAGTCAATTGGCTTGGCTTTGAATAGGAAACTAAGGGCCAGAGTAAATATTTTAGTCTTGATGAGCCTTTTTTTTTTTAAAACACTACAAATGTAAAAAGCATCCTCAGCTCACATGCCTTACAAGCTGGCCAAGTCACCCCAACTTTAAAATGTTTAACAAAGGCCAAGAGCAAACATGTAGACATCAAACTGAACACAGGATCTTTCAAAACCTCGGGGGTACCTGTACCTCTAAGATAGCCTTGCCTGGCAGCGATCTTCTGTGAAACCACAGGTACTGGGCCAGGACCACAGCACAGGGCCAAACATACATTCCATATTGAAGATGCAGGACCTGAAAAGAATTTTTGCTATAAATGGCTCATCTGCTGGAAGCCAGAATATTTACTTAAATAGAAATTACTGAGTGCCGGGCACTAGTATCCATTTACAAAAAAGAGTTGTCTGCTCTAATTCACATCTATGGGGGTGTATAAAACTGCAATAACTATGTGATGAGCACTCCATACACATTTATTCAACAAGCATTTATCCACGGACTGAGTGGCTTAGAATCTATTTTAGGCTGAGGATGTAACTCACGGAGCATATATACACCCTACTGGAGAGAGAGGCAACAAGTAAGCAAATGAAGATTGTTTTGGTTGGTGATAATGCTACAAACGACATAAATTGGGGACGCAAGAGTAACTGGAGGAGGTGGACAGGACAACGGCCACAAGGTGGCTGCCCTAGATAGGGAGAGAGGATGATTCAGGCAAAGGCCCAGAAGCAAGAATTGAAGCTTCTGGCTGGATTACACCACAGGCATAGATAAGAGGCTGGAGGTAAGTTTGTGCAGTGCAAGCAGAGGTCACAGGGAAGGCAAGGCCCGCCATGTGGGGTCTAGTAGGCTACAGAAAGTTTAGCTTTTAAGTGTAAGAAGATATTGGCGGGTTTGAAGCACAGGCATAACTTGAAATGCTAAAGGGAAACAATGTCCTAGGAAGATATAGAAGAGGTCTGAGTGGAGCTGAATCCTGATATGAGGAAGGCGGGAAGCGTACAAAATTACAGCGCCTTTGAAAGGGCAAAGAATTGTGAGTCCGGTATGTAGAGAGGCAAGACGACAGCCCACAACTCTGAAATGAGCCTGCCTGAGTTTAAACTCCACATCTGTAATTTGCTAGCTGTGACCTCACTTAAGTCATTAAACCTGTCTGTGCTTCGGTGCCCTCAACTGCAAAACTAATAGGATGACTAGGAAGACTCAATGCAAACAGTACAGTGCCAGTCACAAAATAAGCATACACAGTTAGAGACTATTAAACTGCAAAACCGCAAATCTTTTCATTTTCTAGAGCAAAGGGTGCCCTGGTGGGGTGGTAGAAAAGGGGGCCGAAGTCGTAAAAGAGTCAAAGGTGAAGGAACTAAGGTCTGAATTTATTCAATCCACTCGACAAAAATGTAAGCGCCTAAAATACGCTAGGCATGAATTAAAGAGACAAAAATGCTTGCCCTGGTAGATTTTACCCGGAAGCATAATGATTTCTGAACAGAGCAGATTTGCGTGTAAAGAAAAGAGGTCTCTATTCTCACAGAGAATATCTTCACTTCTTAAAGTTGGGAAGAAATCCAAATGAGTATCTCAACTTAAAGGCGTTTAGAAACTATCAGAAATGGGTTCCGCTCGAGTCTTAAAATCCTTGCAAACTGTTTTTCATTTTAAACTGTTACTAATTGCTACGTCAAAATCTGATGAAACACCGCGTGGAAGTGCTTTGAAAACCCGGACGCATTTTAGATATAACTATCATTGAGAGTTTTGGGGCAGCCCTGAGCTAAAAGGAAGTGAGTGCCAACCCAAAAAAACTTTATTCGGGTTCTGTGGTTAAAATCCCCGGTCCCAGATAAAGCTGAATTAAGAAGCCCTTCAATGAGATCAAAGAAAATATTAGGTACTATTTTTCTGACAGGAAATACTTGGTGTGAAGAGGCCCATTCCTGGCAAGGTCCTCAAATTCATTACTGAAAGACATGCAATATGCCAAAAGGTTTCATACCAAACCTTTCGCTCTGTGGTCCATCCTGAGGCAGGAAGCCGCGGACCGGATCCCACCCCACCCCACCCCACCACCCGAGAAGCGCTCCTGCCCTAGGGCGCCACCGCAAAAGACCAGAGACGCTTCCCAGCAGATGCAGCAGCACGCACCTGCGGGACGCAGACCTCCAGCACGGCCCCCTCCGCCCCCGGGCCCGGCTCCTCCGAGAATCGAAAGCGTTGGGCCCGGACCACATGCCCTCGGAGGCCACGCTCGCTCAGAGAGGACTCGGTGGCCCCCGGGAGGGCGGGCAGCAGCGGAGGGCGCCCGGCTGCCAGTTTGCGCGCGCCGGCCCCTGTGCCGCCTGGGGCCGCTTCCCCGGCGCCACGTGGCCCTCCGCGGGCCCCGTGGGGTCGCTAAAGCCTGAAGGCAAGAAGGGGAGAAGTATTCCCGGGCGACAAAGTGACTGAGCACGGAGAACAGAACCAAAACTAGGCAAATGAGACGCAGAGCACACAGGCCCCACGGTGCACCGGCCGGAAGCTGGACGCGGAAAGGCGGCGCACTTCCGGAAGTGACGTGCCCGGAAGCTGGCGCGGGAGAGGCGGGGCCTCGGAAAGGCGGCTCCTTGGCTGGCCTGACCTTCCCAACATGGCGGAAATCCGACGCGTGTGAGGGCGGAACCTGAGGTGCCAAAGCCAATGGCTGACCGTGAGAGGCCGGGGGGCGGGGAAGACGGCAGCTGCACGCCCAACCCGAGGCCCGGGAGGTGGTTGGGGAGTGAATTTTCTGGAAAGCGATTTTAAAGGCGCCGGGCCAGAGTGAAGGGCGTTTCAGTGCTGCCGCCGCCTGGTCCGGAAAGGGGGCGCGCTTTGGTGGCAGGAAGCGTGTGCGCCGAGGTCGTCGCGGAACCAGCTGGTGACCCCGCAGGATGAACCACAAGAGCAAGAAGCGGATCCGCGAGGCCAAGCGGAGTGCGCGGCCGGAGCTGAAGGACTCGCTGGACTGGACCCGGCACAACTACTACGAGAGCTTCTCGCTGAACCCGGCGGCCGTGGCGGTGAGCGGGCGGGGATCGCGGGCCGCGCACCTCCGCTGGGACAGGGTCCTCCCTCCCCGCGCACGCCGAGCCTGGCACCGCGGAGTTCCGATGGGCCCACCCGCACCCTGCCGAGGTCGGGGTCATCGGGGCCCGGATTCCAGGGCGGGCCTCCCAGTCCCGGTGTCGCAGTTGCTGCTGCCTCTGCAGCTGGACTCTCACGCCCTTGGCGCCCTCAAAGAGAAGGCCTGTCGCCCCTTGACCCCTTTGGACAGTGGGGTCCTGGGGGACCCGGCTGTCAAAGGCCACGAGTGGGAGATGCGAAGCCCTCCTCTCCTGGTTGGGTGGCGCTGGGTGCGACGTGCCCGAACACACGCAGGTCCTTTCTTCCCAAAGAGAAGCCAGAACAAAAATCTGGCTCCTCAGGGATGTCGTTACTAATTGGCCTTGGGAACACCCTTATTTGCTGCCGGATTTTTTTTTTTTTTTTTAACTGGATAAGTCTTTTCTGATGCCCGCAGGATAACGTGGAAAGGGCAGACGCCTTACAGCTGTCGGTGGAAGAATTTGTGGAGCGATACGAAAGACCTTACAAGCCCGTGGTTCTGCTGAATGCCCAAGAAGGCTGGTCTGCGCAGGAGAAATGGACTCTGGAGCGCCTGAAAAGGAAGTACCGGAACCAGAAGTTCAAATGTGGGGAGGACAATGATGGCTACTCCGTGAAGATGAAGATGAAGTACTACATCGAGTACATGGAGAGCACTCGAGATGACAGCCCCCTTTACATCTTTGACAGCAGCTACGGTGAACATCCCAAAAGAAGAAAACTTTTGGAAGACTACAAGGTGCCCAAGTTTTTCACTGACGACCTTTTCCAGTATGCGGGGGAGAAGCGCAGGCCCCCTTACAGGTAGAGTACCGGTTCCAGCCTCAGCTCTCTGCTAACCTTTTCCCAGAACCAGAAATGGTTCTCCCTGCACATGGGGCTGACTTAGGGGCTGCTGATGCCCGCCCGGTCCTACTGTCAGACTGCTTTAATTGGTCTCGGGTGCTACCAGGGCATCAGGAGTTCTGAAAGCGTCCCAGGTGATTCAAACATGCAACCAAAATTGAGCCACTGATCTATGAGGAAAGTTTTGATAGTTAAAAGCCCAGCAGTAAGCCACGTCAGTGATTTTTCTTTTTTCTGTTATTGTGTGCACAATTCACTCAGCATTTCTACGTCCCACAATTTGTGTGGTTTTGAAACAAAGATAACATTGTATAAAACTGCAGAGTTACTGTTTCGTCGGTAGTTAAATTGCCCGTCACGTATCGGATATTCCGTTCCTTTAGGTGGTTTGTGATGGGGCCACCACGCTCCGGAACCGGAATTCACATCGACCCACTGGGAACCAGTGCCTGGAATGCCTTAGTTCAAGGCCACAAGCGCTGGTGCCTGTTCCCTACCAGCACGCCCAGGGAACTCATCAAGGTGACCCGTGAAGAAGGAGGGAACCAACAAGATGAAGCTATTACCTGGTTTAATATTATTTATCCCCGGACACAACTTCCAACCTGGCCACCCGAATTTAAACCCCTGGAAATCTTACAAAAACCAGGAGAGACTGTCTTCGTACCAGGTATAGATGACCTGAAAGAAAGTACTTTCTTTGAATTTAGTGATTTGTCCTTTTGGAGCAGAACTACATTTAGAATGAGTCAAAGAGACTCACACGGTCTGCACACTAACTGAATGAATTGACCTGTGCCCACTTCCGACAGTAATATGGGGCTGCTGGCCATGTGTTTCATAACCTAAATATATAATGACTATTGATAAACCCATTTTATGTGAGGATCCTACTCATTTTTATCTTTAGTGCTTACCTGGTGTCGTGTGTATGTTCCTTGACTCGTGCATATTTCTGTAAATTGGGGTTTTGGTACAGCGTGGCACTGGGTGGGTTGAGTCAGGAGTTAGTGACTTAGAGCCAAGAGGCAGGAAACCCCAGGCCTGATTCTGCGGGGTCCTCCTGACAGGCCGAGCTCTGGGAGTATGTAAGGTAGGCGTCCTTCTCCGAGCCGAAGCACTGCTCCCGTTACAGCCTGGGTCACAGCTTTGGGTTAGCTGGGGTGCACACACTTATTTGTAAAGGACCGGAGAGTAAAATATTTTAGGCTCTGCGGCCAGATGGTCCCTGTCACAATTGCTCAGCTCTGCCCGTGTGGCAGGGAAAACAGCCCTAGACAATCCATAAATCAACAGGCGTGGCCATCCTCCATAGAACTTTACACAGACGGGTCATTGGTGATTCTCGGCCCAGGAGGAGCGTTTGCCACGCTGCATCAGGTCTCTGAGGCTCTCCCTTGTGCATCGGAATCCCCTGCCTCTGAAGCCCATAGGCTATGTGAAGTTTATGTTTTAGAGTGCTTGTGGGCAGAATCAAACCCTGTTTAACTGTTGGTTTGTTGGATTTCAGGAGGCTGGTGGCACGTTGTCCTCAATCTTGACACCACCATTGCCATCACACAGAATTTTGCCAGTAGCACCAACTTCCCTGTTGTTTGGCACAAGACGGTAAGAGGGAGACCAAAGTTATCGAGGAAATGGTATAGGTGAGAGATGTTTTTTTCCTCATTTTTGCTTTGTTCCGGTTTCTGCCCCAGAGATAAAATGGAAAGTGTCCCCTGCTGCAGTAACGTGCTGGTTTTAGACCCGCCTGGAAGAAAGCTGGGGCCGCCAAAGCCCGTGGGTCAAGGAGAGCGGGTCCCTGGTCAGGGCTAGTCTCAGGATGCTCGCCAGCCTCGAGGCAGCAGGGTGAGACTGCATGTCGATCAAAGCCAGTCAGTCAAAACACGGTCACGATCGGGATTGTTTCTCGTTTTTTGTTGGTTTTTTTTTTCTGATTTTCGTTTTTTTCCCAAAGCTAGCACTAGCAGAGGAAGCCATTTTGTTTGAGTTTTATTTTGGTTATTTCTTTTACTTACCCAGAAGCATTATTCCCATTTGAACTTATTACCTTCAGTTCTTGTGAGCGAGGTGACTGCCCTGGAGACTTAGCTCCTCTGTTTATCCACAGAACAGATACAGCACGGGCAGCGGCAGTGCAAGCCACCCCCAGCCACCCCGTGCCACTGTGTCCCAACCCTGACCTGGAGGGACCAGCTCTCGGGGTAAGAGAGGGATTCTGGCTTGTTCAGTGCTCAGCCGCCCTGCTGAGAGGGCCAGCAAGGGTGGTGGCTTTGTTCTCCCCAGACTCTGGGGCATCTGAGGCCCACGTCCTCCCTCCCGTAGGCCGCTGCGTGCTGCATTTTGGTCGTTCTAAGGCAGACCTTTGGTCCCTGGTTACAGAGGATGCTAGGTCAGGGTCCTCCGGGGAGGGCTGCTGCCTCTGAGAGTCCAGCTCAGTTTTACCTTCGAGGGGGGCCCTCTCTGTAACTTGACACTTCTTACTTCTTACAAACCTAATTGTTTCTACGTTTACGAATAGAGTTTGACCAAGCCCAGTGCCAATCAGTAAGTGCTGTGCCGTGGAAGGAAAAGGTTAACATGAAATCAGCTAGGAAAAGTTCAGGGCAAAAATGAGAAGAGACTGTTTCTCCCAAGGGGAAAAAACTAAGAGGAACTCGAAACGTCGCCCGCCGAGTCGGCGGCCCGTCTGGCTCGTTGGCGCCGGTGCTGGGAGACCGCGCGTAGCTAGTTTTCCTTTTGGAAAAGCCTGAGCAGCGTGTCGGGGCTTCCGTGCCCAGCCTCGGACTCACGTCCTCACCGCGCTCCGCGTCACTCGTTCCGACAGAGGTGCCTGGCGTCCCCGGGCACTTCTGAGAGAGGCAGGGCTCAGCCTTGAGTCTGGGTTACTGTGTGTGGGTGTCGTTGCTTGTCCCAGCACTGAACGTGGGTCTTGTCTCTCAGGATCTTGAAGCAAGAGCACCCCGAGTTGGCGGTCCTGGCCGACTCCGTTGACCTTCAGGAATCCACAGGGATCGCCTCAGACAGCTCCAGCGACTCCTCCAGCTCCTCCAGCTCCAGCTCGTCCGACTCAGACTCAGAGGTGAGACCTTGCCCTCTCCCCAGGCCTCCAGGGCAGGTCACCCCGTGAAAACCAGATGTGACTCGCCCTCCTCCCCAGGAGGGAGAAAGACGTGAAGGGTCTCCACTGTCTTCCAAGAACTACAACTCCCACCATTCCTGCCGTGTGGTGACATTTGCCCATTTGGTAGCTTCACGTGTGTATGTTAATTGTCACGGCGTCAAGGGGTTGAAAGAGTCCTTGGGGACTCCGTTAAGTAAATGGCCCAGGGGCGCACAGCTGGCAGGCAGCGGTGTCGCAGACGCCAGCGTGCTGACCTCAGGTCCAGGTTAAGGATTCTCCCAGTGGGCGGTGGAGTGTGAGCTAGAAACCCAGCAGATTCAGCAGTTTGCAGAAGCTAACGTTGGGCGAGAGGGTCCCGTGCCCTCAGCAGCTGACGTTTCCGTCTCAGGACTGCGTGGTCCGATCGTCCCTCTCGTGCGGGCGGTGGCGCGTCGTATGCTAAGTGCTGCGCTCGCTTGCGCGCATCGGCTGCGTGTGGGCCAAGCGGAAGGCCGTGGCGCGGTCTCCGAACGCTGGCCGTACGTGGTGTTGGAGTGGGCGTCCTGACTTCACACTGGGACCCTTCCATTAGAGACCACTGTGGGGACGCTCGCCACCTGAGGGGAGATCCTGGTCTTGCGGGAGCCGGGCACGTCTGGGGAGATGCGTATGCAGACCGTGCTACGAAGCGCTCACGGGCGGCCGCCGCGCTTCTGGGGGACAGCGGGCGATATTTGCGTCGTCTCCTGAGATCAGAGGTTACGTCCAGGTTGAATTTCTGTTTTTCCTCCTCCCGGGTCCAGTGCGAGTCAGGGTCTGAAGGCGACGGGACGATGCACCGCAGGAAGAAGAGGAGGACGTGCAGCATGATGGGAAATGGGGACACCACCTCCCAGGACGACTGTGTGAGCAAAGAGCGCAGCTCCTCCAGGTGACCGAGCACGGCCGCGGCCTGCGTAGGAGGACGTGCCCGCAGCCAGGGGCAGGGCCCAGGGAGGGCAGCCGGCCGGGCCCCGCAGACGGGGGCGCCAGCGCATGCGGAGCACGCACGCTCCTGGAACGCGAGTCCATCCACTTAGCATTTGCTGCAGTGGCTTTTCCTCTGCTACCGGCGCGAGTAACGTGGCTCGTGTTACGCATAAAGGCGAGAACCCATGTGGATGGTGCCAAGGAATCCTTTCCGTTATTTAATAAAAATTAAACACCTTTTCTATCTTGATTTTTTTTTTCTTTCGAGAAGACCAGAACCTTCCCATGTTTCTCTTATCGTGGTCTTTGAAAGCAGTGACGCCACTGGTGTGCGCCCTCACGGGGGACGCGGCAGCAGCAACGGGGGAAAGAGCTGTTCTGGCACCTTCCAAAAAGCCTGAGCAGTGGCCCCGCTCTTTCTCCGTTTGCCGTTATTGCTTTGCCAGTCGGGTCGCAGCAGAGAACTCAGATTTTTTATCAAAATCTTAACCGTGTCTCCGATGAAAAGCCAGATTGGACTTATAAATAAGTTAAACCGTAGTCTCACGCAAGCACCTCCCTGCCCTCGTGCTGGGCACACAGCGGGCTCACGGTGAAGTCTGGCGACTCCACAGGCGTCCAGGGTCTGTAAGTCCCAGAGCCCTGCGTTTGACATGCTGGCCGAAGTGTCACTGTCAGCAGCATTGAGGGGTGAGGTTTCGGGGAAGGTAATAAAACACTGAACTTCGTAGGATGCTAAGTGTGTGAAGTCCTTAACTGCTCAGCAGGTGTCCTTCCTGTGAGGTTCTTTGTCCTCCCGGAAGCTGAGTGTTTTCTCCAGTGTGTTCTGAAAGTTCAAGACCCACAGTCCTTTCCTTCGTCTTTTCTCGTTCCCTGAGGTCAGGCTGGAATTCCATGGGCAAGTTCAGGTGTCTTGTTCAAGTGAATTTATCAGACTAGAATGTGCACGTCTCAGCCCGAGTTGTCCTTTCACAGCCACCCTTAGATGCCTCTTGTCTTTTTCAGTTGTTTCTGTTATTGCAGACTTGTGTCTGTCTGTCCTTCAGGTGCGATTCAGTCGCCACGGGGGCCCTGGGGGTGCTGCTAACGTTTCCTTCCAGCTCTGCGCCAGCGTGCTCTCTACCTGCTCATTACAGGCAGTTGTACTTTCTTTGGCAGGATTAGGGACACTTGTGGAGGCCGTGCTCACCCCTGAGCAGATAAAGACACTCCCTGAGGTGGCTCCTGTGTCAGCTGCTGGTGGCCACCCGGCTCCGTTTTCACGTCTTCTGCTCTTCCCTTCTCCTTTGTCTCTGAATTTGGATCATCTTTCTCTGGTCCAAGCTTCTGTCTTCAGTCGAACGCTGTTTTCACTGCTCACTAAGACTAGATTGTCAAGAAGTGTAAAAATTCGGCAAGCTCAGTGAAACGCTGCAGGCCGACGGGATGTTGGGTGAGAAGGTTCTGCGCCGTCTCCTTTAAAACCCAGCTGGGCGACTACAAGGCTGGAGGGTCGCGATCCTCTGACTGTCTCGTTGCATCTGGCACCTCACTGATGTTGGTGCGGAACTTCCACTGTCCACAGAGCCGGCTGCACACACGCAGACACCGGAAGTGGTGAGTGGACTTGGATTTGTGTGTGAACCAGTTACACGTAAGAAGTGCCACACGTGCCACCTTCCCACGCGTCACCATCCATCCAAAGACGCAGTCGGTGGCAGTAACCCAGCCGGCGTGCGCAGCTCCAATCGCCACTGCCTCCTGCTGTGTTAGGATCTGCTCCCTTTCTCCGCGGTCAGAGGGGCTGTGAAATTCCAGGGATGGGCTTGTGTGGCATATTCTGGGCAGGGATGACACATCGGGGTTTTTTGTTTATGAACAGAGTGGGAAAGGTGTTCAGTGTGTTCTTACCATAGAACTTAAATTATACATAGGGGCCAGTTCCAGTGTTGAATTTTTAATGGAGCGTTTAGCATTTCCTGATGCCGGGTGGGTCATGTGGCTTTTGTCTAGGAGGCTGGTCCCTATTGTGCCCTAGACCAGTTTTCTGCATCCTAAAATGCCTACCTAAACACGTGGCTGGTTTGGATGGGGAGCTTCTGTTACCTTCCTGGCATCGGCACCTGTCGTCCCACCTGCCCATGGTGCTGCTCTCCCCTCCCCCACCGGGCACCCAGGCTGGAGCAGCAGCCTCTGCTTCCAGGGTGTGAGCGAAGCCAAACCATGAAAGCATAGTCATTGTATAAATATCTGAATGGTGTTCCTCCTTTTCGAAAACCTTTTTGTGCTATCTTCAAAATGGTTTTCTCTCTCTCTCAGTATCGCTACCAGGCTGTCAACACTCACCTCTCAAATTCATACCCACCGTTCCCCTCAGCCAGTTTAAAGCAAAAAGCCAAACCAAAAGGCTGTTTGCCGCCAGGGGGCGTGGTGAGACGCGTTGCAGTGGCTGGGAGGGGCCAGGAGCAATTTGAATTTGAGAGATTAGCCACCCCGGTTTCCTTCTCCAGATGCCAAATAAGATTGTTTAATAAACAACATCCAGAAATAAGGGATCAGGGATGAGCTGGTGAGAAAGGAGTGCAGTGGGGGCCAGGCCATCAGGGTCGGGAAGGACATGGGAACAAGGGGTCCATCCACCTGTCCCAGAGTTAACCCACCACCCACCTGGCGTGAGCCGCTCCTGTGAGTGAAGGATACAGCATTAAACTGTTTTTCAGGACTGCTCTCCTACTGATTTTAAAACCAGCAAGACGAGTCCTGAAAGAAGGGATCGTGCACTAGTAACCGGATGGGGAGGAGCAGGGTAGGCGTGACGGGAGCCGGGACTCAGGACAGCCAGGATGTGGCGGGGGCTTCGGGGGTTTTGGGCATGAGAAAGGCACCAGTGGTTCATCATCCGCCTCGAGTACCCAGTGCTGCACACAGGTGCCTCTAGGCTCTTGAGTAGGACTGTGATGTATAACGTGACACCTTTGAGGGGAGAGCCACCCAAAAAGGGACATTCTTCCCATTTTGCTCGTTTGCAGATGCCCTTTCATTCAGCAGATGTTTGGGTGCCAGCAGGCGCTGCGCTAGGTGCAGGCGAGGTAGCAGTGACAAGCCCAGACCTGGTGGAGCCTAATGGGCAGTGAATGTGCTGCTGTTCACAGGGCCGCTGGTCTGGGTAAGCAGAGCTGTGCTCAGATTTTCACGCCCGGAAAAGCAAGTTCAGACCTTATTAAATGCAAGTTTACGAGATCTTCATAAAAGAACATAATTATCATGATAACTGTATTCTTCACTTAGTACGTGGCTTCTTTGTAAATTAGCTAAAGGTGTTTAAACTAAGGATCAGCGAGAAGGTTGCCGGTGCAAGTGCTTTGCAAACTTACTAGAGGTTCAGCCTTGATGTGGTTTAGGACTTTAGGCAAGAGTGTGGGATGGAACAGGAGTTTTGCATAAATGTAAAAAGTGCTGTCTAGGAGGTAGGCGGATAAGCATGCAGCTTAGGTTCCTTGAATTGTGAGTCGCCTTCCACACGGAAGTTGTTCGTCATGTGGGCTCCAGCCCTGCCGATCGTTCCACGTGGAGTCTTATTTCTCCTCACACTCCCCCTCCCTGGCTTCCGTCAAGATGTGACATCGATGTTACGTTGAGTACAGCAAAACTACACGAACTACATGTGTGCCCTCGGGTGGTGGCTCCCAACTTTGTTTACTGTTCGTTCAAAAACTTGAAACATCCGGCCCCCACCGAATCCCCCAGGAGCACTGGCCCAGGCTGGCTGTCTCGCGGGTAACTGGACAGGCAGAAGCACCAGGGCTGTGCTGAGGGCCCCGTGCCTCTCGCAGCTGTCAAACCGAACACTGAGCAGCCTCTGGTTCTGTCCGTCTCGCCGTGGGGTCCACCACGAAATGCCTGTGGTTCTGCCATTTGATTGGTATTTTTAACTTTCACTTGGATGAAACTTGTTCATCATTTTCAATAAAGCAACTTGATTTGGAGTTGGGTTTTTTGCTTTGTTTTATCTTTGTTTCTTTTTGTGGTAACTGAGTTCGTTTTCACGGTAGGACCTCTTAAATATATACTTTAAAACACCTGGGACAGGGGACAAAAATTGGGCCCAACACTTTGACTGAAAAGTCCCCCAGTGGTCAAAAGCCAGTAGCCAAGAGATTAACCCCATTCCACATATTATAGCTGTGGGGCATTTTTCATCAACGGCCACTAATTTTTATTTATTTATTTATTTATTTTGCACATTCCCCTTAGTATTATGTGATGCAGCAGGACTAAGCTCACCCTGTTGCTGGAATCCTGTTTGTCAGGAGCTCACGAAGCCAAGGAGCGCACGTGCATCTTCCATTTCAGAGGAGGCGCTCTGTCTAGCATCTTGGCTTCTGTCAGACAGCAGCTCGGGCTGCAGTTTTTCCCAAAAAGTATTAAACGCATCCTCAGCAAAAACCAGAACACTGTTTTCGGCATTGAGCCTTATTTGCCACGGGACCTGACAAACTTCGCCAGCCCAGGATTTATTTAAAATGACTAGGGTGGGGTTTGGGAGTTGTAAACAAATAACGTTTCTGGTTACAACGTATTTATCTCAAACATACACTGTTCAGCAACAGGCCCTGGGACGATCTGGAGAAACAAAAACTGGAGACTTCCCTTCCCTGTTCCACCCTCCGGGACCCCCAGAATTATGCAAAGAGGAAAGTCCGCGGGAGATGCAGCTGACCCAAAGCATTGGAGCTGAATTCCAGGAACCCGTCTGGGGGGCGGGGGGCAGCCGCCTGACAAAGCGGCCGGTGTTGAAGGCCGCAGGGTCTCAGCCCGGAAGGGGCGTTCGCAGGCCAGGACCTGGACATAGATATTAAGGCGACTCTGAGGAATAACGGCGGCTGTCGACCTGCAGAAAGTGGCGAAAAGTAAGCAGGGTTGACGTTTGGTTTTCATTGTCCTACAGGCAGCCCAGCGCCAGTTTGCGGGAGCCTGCCTGGCTTTACGGGGCCCAGACTAGCACTTCCATTTCCAGGGTGCTCTAAGACGACCCTCCGTCCAGGGCCTAAGTGCCGCCGGAAGGTGACAGTCTACGGGCACCTGAGCCATGAGTGATGTCGAACCGGTTTTCAGAAGGAGCCTAAGCTCGAGGCGTCAGACCTGCCCGGGCGGGGAAGGGTCGGCCCTCCTCCGGCCTCGGGTGCGCTTCCCAAGGGCTCCGGGCTCCCGCCCCCGGGTCTGCCGCCCC